GATTTTGGATCATGCAGATTCATCTGTCATATTTTCTCTTGTTTCCTCCGTCGTGTATCATTATCATTGCCATGTGGCATCACACTGAAGAATGTTCATCAAATATTACAACAGCAAACCAATGTTCATCAAATATTACAACATCAAACCATGATGTAATGTCCTTGCTCCAACTTTGGCAAATTCAAACCCCCAACTCTTAGAAAGGAGAGCTGTCGTAGACAAAGGGATACCTCTTATGGACCCAACAAACACACTTGAGAGGGGGAACACGAAAGGTAGGTAAGCAAGAAAGGAACCGAAGAAAAAATGAAGGGGAGAGGGGAGGGAAAAATACATAAAGTGGAGTCTGGTAAAAGCGACGCGGCCATTTTCTTTCCAAAAATATAAAGGGGAGTCTGCTAAAAACGACTGAAAGGCTTCGGCGATGTGGTTGGGGTTGGTGGTGGTTGTGGTGTTGGTGGTGTTGGTGGTGCTGGTGGTGTTGGTGTTGTTGGTGGTGGTAGTGTTTCTGGTGTTGTTAGTGTTGTTAGTGTTGTTAGTGTTGTTAGTGTTGTTGGTGTGGTTGGGTTTGTTGGTGGTGTTGGTGTTGTTGGTCGTGTTGTTGGTGTTGGTATTGTTCGTGTTCGTGTTGTTGTTGTTGTTGCTGTTGTTGTTGCTGTTGTTGTTGTTGCTGCTGTTGTTGCTGCTGCTGCTGCTGTTGATGGTGTTGATGGTGTTGTTGTTGTTGTTGTTGTTGTTGTGTGTTGTTGTGTGTTGTTGTGTGTTGTTGTGTGTTGTTGTGTGTTGTTGTGTGTTGTTGTGTGTTGTTGTGTGTTGTGGTGTGTTGTGGTGTTGTTGTGTGTTCTTGTGTGTTCTTGTGTGTTCTTGTGTGTGTTGTGGTGTGTTGTGGTGTGTTGTTGTGTGTTGTTTGTGTTGTTGTGTGTGTTGTTGTGTGTTGTTGTGTGTTGTTGTGTGTTGTTGTGTGTTGTTGTGTGTTGTTGTGTGTTGTTGTGTGTTGTTGTGTGTTGTTGTGTGTTTTTGTGTGTTGTTGTGTGTTGTTGTGTGTTGTTGTGTGTTGTTGTGTGTTGTTGTGTGTTGTTGTGTGTTGTTGTGTGTTGTTGTGTGTTGTTGTGTGTTGTTGTGTGTTGTTGTGTGTTGTTGTTGCGTTGTTGCGTTGTTGTGTGTTGCGTGTGTTGTTGTGTGTTGTTGTGTGTTGTGGTGTGTTGTTGTGTGTTGTTGTGTGTGTGTGTTGTTGTGTGTGGTTGTGTGTGTGTTGTTGTGTGTTGTTGTGTGTTGTTGTGTGTGTTGTGTGTGTGTTGTGTGTTTTGTGTGTTGTGTGTTGTGCGTTGTGCGTTGTGCGTTGTGCGTTGTGCATTGTGCGTTGTGCGTTGTGCATTGTGCGTTGTGTGTTGGTGTTATTGTTGTTGTTGTTGTTGTCGTCGTTGTTGTTGTTGTTGCTGTTGCCGTTGGTGTTGTTGTTGTTGGTGTTGGTGTTACCCCTGCAGCGTTTTTGCTCGGTTCCGTAGTGGCCGAAAATCGTCAAATCGGTGGTGTTTTCGCGTGTTTTTGCAACTCTCGGAGCAAAAAACACCGTAAATACCGATGTTTTTGGCGGGTCGGAAGCCCAAAACCACAGTATTTACGATGTTTTTTGCCTCTGGTAGTAAAAAGCACGGTATTTACAGTGTTTTTTGGCCAGCACCTAGCAAAAACACTGGTATTTACGGAGGTTTCACCATGTAGCAAAATGTGGTTTCTTGATCCGAAAAGAACAAAAATACTGTAAATTACAATGTTTTGAGTCTGCTCTTAGGGTGCGTGGGAGGTGTGGAGGGGGGGGGGTTACTAAAATGACTAGCAATCTCCTGAAGAATCAGGTAACGGGGCTGGCCGCCCTCCCCTTTACTTCGTAAAGTAAAACTCAAGGTAGCCCCTCTGGAGCTACCTTTCGTGATTTGGCTAACCCAATGAGCACATACCAAGACATTTTTGGTGCACCGGGTTCCTGATGGGAACTGTAGGGGGGTGCGCAGCGCTGTGGCGAGAAACGCCTGCCCAAGTGAAAATGCAGAAAACGTTTCAGCTGCGGACGACTTTTGAGAGTTATACAAGATGTCGAAAAAGTGCACGCTGTTCTGGCGAAGCACATTTCGAAACCAGAAGTGTTAAAAACTGACGGTCTGGGACCACCTTGGAAGTTGAGATGTTGAAAAATTGCATACGGTGGTGGAGGCACGATATGTTCGTGCCACTTTTGGATGTTTAATGTTGAAGAAGTGGAGAACACCGTTGTGGCGCGAAAGCATTTCCAAGTCAAAACTGTAAAAACATACCAAGTTCGGACCGTTTTTCAACCGTACCACGCTACACTACAACTGGAAGTAGGCCGAAAACTAGAACGACAACTACAAATATGACTGCCATTACACCGACAACAACGACTGTAACTGCAACTGCCACTACAACTAGAACTAACTACACTACGCTACGCTACACTACACTACCACTACCCTAGCACTGGTACTACGACTGCGACTATAACTACCGCTACAACAACCAGTACAGCTGCAACTACCACTACATTATATACACTTCACTACAGTTTACACGTGCAACTACAACATCAACTACGACTACAATTACTATTGCAATTACAACTACAACTGAGCTGCACCACATTATATCATGTTGTATCGAGCAGTTGTGGTTGAATTGACCAGTGCAACCACTCCAAAAAACACAATTCCAACCACCTTTCGGTCCATCAGTGGATTCGCTCTGCCATGCATACAGCAACTCACCTCTCCTATAGTGTCCATCTTTGAAATTTTTGCCACCGCCTTGTGCGGTAACTACTACTGGTATATGCCAAATAGACTATCCAAGATGCAATGTCTGGTCGAATGCCAGGTACAAAGTCAAACAGAATGCAAGATAGCATGTAAAAATATATTTGAGAGAAAGTGCTAGAATGCCAGAATATATATAATATAATATATATATATGTCATATAGGAATGCCAGGTAGAATGCTGGAAAAAAATAAGGATAGATGCCAGATTGCATGTAAAACGCCACGTTTAAAAAGTCTGTATATCTGTCAAATAAGACGACAGATAACGCACAACAAACAGAGAAAGGCAAGGTTCCAACATTCACACTTAATGTTTCGTCATGTTTCCCCCATTTGTTTCTGGCGCAGATTTGACAATACCTAAAAATTCACACCGCCTCATCACCCTGCTAGTCTTCCAGCGCGATGAACGAAATCTTGGTATAAGGCCGGTTGCCTTGTCCACAAGATTCTCTCCCAATTGGTGTAGGTACGGTGGCATGAAGTCTCGTGTTTCTGCTGCCTTCTTTCCCACATTCTCGCGGCATGAAATTTGAGCGGGGCATTTCCTTCGTGCACAACTTTTCTGTCGTGTTTTGATTGGGCTGAATCGGTGGCATCAGGGTGACGCAAACGTGCCCTGCGGTCTGGCACTCTCCCAGGTGGCGCAGCATCTTATCGTAGTTTGTCTCCCACTTTGCTGGTTCAGTTGAATTTGCATTGTACACATGACACGAGGTGTGTTGGGATTGCCTTGCGTTGGATCAGGTCAGGTTTCGTTTGGATGTGCTGTGTTCTTGCCTTTCGAAGTTGCACACACGATCGCTGCTACGCAAATGCAGTTGGGTTGGGCTGAGTCTCTTGGTCAGTTCGGGGTGTAGGATGGAGATATGGGGTTTATAATTATACAACGCAGCAGGGCAGTCCAAACCTTGGTCTGCAAATGACAAGCAACTCCCCAGTGCAGTCAGTGCAGTTACATTTTCCACTTTGTTTTCCTACAAACATTTACCGACGTTCCCCCTGTCTTGGCGATTCGACCTCGTACATGCAAGTGCAGCGTTGGGATACCGAACGTCGTTTGGGAGTAGGTCCATTGGGTACTTTGCCGTTGTTTGTTTCAAGTCTGATAAACAGGATGATGCTGGCCCTAGATGGTGGCATTGTTCAGAAATTTGTGCAACCTTGTTTGAAGTTGTTGTCCGCGAATTGATTTGCATGTTTCCATTTCAACGCTCAAAGCTTGTGAGTTATGAGTATGATACAGCAAAAAGGCGCTTCAACACTTCACAACGTGATCACACACTGTCGGAGCGCCAATCGCACTGCACCATTCGCAAGTTTCAGCGAATTTCTGCTGTCCAATTTCGACTTGCGGACTCGTGGGGACGAAATCGTGGCCCAGCGTTCCGGAGCACCTACGCAATTGGAGGAATTTTGAAGCCATCTGTGGGCCATCTGTTCTTGCGGCGAAATCATATTGCCGGAGCAAACCTCTGGAGTTGATCCCTTCTCTCTCCGGCGAAAATTGATTGCAGAATGCGGGCTGACCACATTTCAGCCAACCGTATTATGCGAAAATTGCAGCCTGATGGTTTCGAGTTTTCGCGTTTCAATCACAACACTTGTGAAAATCAATCGGATTCAATTGGCATAATCGGCTGATTCTTCAAGTACCAAACTACTTAGCCAAGGACCTGCTTTCATATTGCGGAGTGGTGGAACACATGTCACTACTGAAACATCGCCGTCTATGATCGTCGTTGGGGTGTGCCCGCAGTCTCCGCAAAAATTCGCTGTGGACACATTCGCCTGTGTTGATATCTGTATTGGCTTGCTGCAAATCGAGCACTTGCTTCACATTTTTTCCCGTTTCCAAGCTGTCCATGTCTGGAACATTGCCATTAGTGACGTCTTATCGGTGGTACGGTCGGTCACCTACTCCTTTTTTTTACCTTTGCTTCCAGAGGTTTCCCCTGTCCCTATGTTTTTCCAATGGCAAGTTGCCAAGGTCAAGGCGCGCAGATTCATCACGTTTTGTGGTTTTCTTGATGCAAGAAGTTGTTGAGCAACAATACAGCCCAGGTCTCCAAAAGGTACATTCTCTACATTCTACTCTAAAAGAAAAGTGTCCTTTGCCTTTGCTTTGTTCTCAAACTGCGATGCGACTCAAGTCAGGCCCCCGCTTGTTCCGAATATCCTCTCCCAGCTTTTCACGAACGGAACGAAGATTTTTGAGAGTGTCCATGTCCTCAGTGCTTGAACAATGCACAAAGCCAGAAATTTGTGTGCTTCTGACCATCCAAAGTAAATGCCCCGGGCCTCTTCATTCCCCCTTGCCAATGGTTGAGAAAAAATCACCAAGAACAGAAATGAATACTTTGAAACCATTGACAACAGCAAGTGATAGAGACCAGGACTTGGTCGGACTTGATGCATTGATCCAAGCGCACTGCCAGCACTCTTTTTTCCTGCCATTGCCGCGTCGTTCAGGATGCCTAGGCTGCCTAGGCTGCCTTCTTGGCAACCTTTCGCTTTTTGAAAGACTGCTTGATCTTTTGGTACCTCAGGTATCAGATTTGGAACCAAAGAGCTGAAACTCTGGGGCACCATGGGAAACATGCGAAAACATGCAAAAACAAGCAAAAACATGGGACACCACCGGACAACATGGGACACATTGGACAACCGCTTTAGGATCTTCAAAGTTCAAGTTGTTCTGGTGATCCATGAACAAAGGAAACAAAGGAAACACTTCACTTCATTCACTTCTCTGAACCCAAGGCATCCACTTCTTCAGGGCAGTCTCAAGGAGCTCGGGGCGGTTCCAGGTGGATCCGATGATCTGCCCGCGCCCGTGGCCAGGTGTGTTTCTGTTTTGTTTCCAATCAAGGCCCCCCAAACTCTTCAAACATCTCCAAACCCCTTGTGATCCAAATCATCCATTATACCAATTATATCCAATTATACCATGCGCCTTCTTGAGCTGCTCAGGACCCTGTTTCTTGCCTCAGACGATTCAAAGCCGGCCATGCGGTAAACCTAATACCCCCAAATCTTTTCAATGGAATAAGCTGGGATGGTTTGCGATTTGGTTTACAGAATAATTATGCAACCTGTAACTGTGGCCACTTAGCAAACAATTCACTCATGATTCCTATCTGCACAACCTCCCTACGGCTAATAATTTTGGTGAAATGCATCGTGGTTGGAGTTTTGAATGATGATGCAACTTGATACGGAGTCCTGGTTTTGACACAACGAGCTGCATTCTCAATCATTGGACTCTTATAGCACAAGTTGTCAATGTATGCATTTGGTCATCATTTCACATTCAAAACATGCAGTGAATGAGTCATAGTCAGGGCATGTCAGGGCACCCTTCTTGATGCCAGTGGTCACCAGCACGGCACCGGGACGATATTGCCTGCAGTCCGTGAGTGCTGACTCAAAGAGCAGGACGAGCAAAACGACCTCACCTGGATGATCGCTTGCTTCGGGTAGTCAGGACGATGGACTCCTGGCCAAATCACAATTCATGTTTTTTCAACCAACTGTATTTTCATTGTTTTCAAACCATGCTGCAGTCATCATGACAAAATAATACAAAATATTACAATCATGTTTTACAAATCATGGTTGTTCTATTAATGCAAGTTAATACAAATGCAAATATCTGCAAAGAAAATGACCCAAGGAATGCTCCGAATGCTCCTTCTTGCCGACCTTCTTTGCATCAAGTCCAAGCACCTGCTTTGATGCCAGGCCGCTGTACCTGAATCATCTTGCATTCGGTGCAGGAATAGAAGAATATCGCAACTTACGAAAAACATTACACATGATTACAAATGTTGACAAGTTGCTGGAATTTGTTGAGGCCGCAGAGATTTCCTGCATCACAACACATTTGTGCAACATCCACCCCAAGCAATGTTTCAAGTCTTCAAGTCCTGGCTCAGTGGTCATAGTTGGGAAGTTCTTGCGCTTCTGGATGAAGCATGACTGGTTCCTCAACGCAAGAATAAATACAGCTGCATAGGCCTGTCTACCGCATTGTTGTATATACCAACACTATTTTCCAAAAGCGATCATTGTTTCCCTTAGGTCATGGCTTCACACACTCCCAAAGAAGATCTGGAGCAGCCATGATGCAAGCTGCCACTTCCGCGCGCGGCTAAGTGAGGCAGCAATCCCTTTGCCAAAATGGCAGCGGATCAATGCAAGGTAAATCACAATTCACTCACCTGCACGGAAAACCGCAGTGTGAAATTATGGTTTCTTCTGAAATCTCGATTTTCTTGCCCGCCCTGCCCCCCCCCCGGTGCAAACATATGAAAATTCCCTTGGTGCTTGGCAGTCTTGAACTTCTCAACCTTCTTAGCATCTTTGCTGTCAAGCCTGACTTCAAGTTTCTCTTAGACCCTTGTATTCAACCTTGAATGTGTGTAGTTTTGCAGCTTCATCAACAGCTGTGGCCGCTCACACCACAACGTTGCTCCGCTGGGGACACAAACCAAAGAGCCGCTATTGCATATGGTGGCCATTGGTGGCCACTATCACCCCTACAGCACATGCCTTCGCTCCGTACGATCCAATGATCGCTCTGCCCGCAGAATGGCTGCCTACAAGCACTGTTCGCTTTTCCCCGGGCCCGGTGGCCAATTCCAGTATTGCTCACAAAACTATTGGAAACGTCTGTGCATATCAGCACCAGAATTAGAATCTATCATGTCAAAATGATTCAGAATACTGTGTCTTGCGCATCTCTTCCACTTTCATCCCCTTTCTCTGCAGCACAATAGCACAGGCACAGCCGGCACAGCACCTCCACATCCAAAGCATGCTTTTCCAGTTGCTTCTTCATCTCAGCGAGCTCCCCAGTGCGCCTGACATCTGACATCTGACACGTCGTCTCAGTGAACCAAGCCCAAGCCCAAGCTACACCGCTGCCATGGTCCAGTGCCTGGAAAGGCAATCCTCTGTTCTGTGGTTGGCCCGGTTGGTGTCCTAGATTCAGCAACTCTACTCATCTCTGCCGTCACTCAATCAACTCATAATAACTCATATCTGAATCTCGGGTTGTCATGTTTGTGGAGGTATCCTGCTTCACCTTGAATATAGTCTCCAAACTCTTGTTGCGGTGGCAGCTGCATTTCTCCAAGAGTTTGAGAGTGTCCTTCAAGCACAGTCGGTCGATAAATGTCGTTTCCAAATGTTGGGCAGGGGACTACTTTTTGAAGCTCTGACATAAGAGAATAATCATAAAAATTCATAAAATAGATCAACGGATGTGACACGCTGTCCGCAATGAGCTCTTTGGAGGCTTGCTCGGCTTTCTTCTGCTCCTCAGCCGACGCAAAGGTACGGAAGATTGATAGCCTCTTCAAACACCAATGTTTTTTACCACTCACGCCTGGCCTCGGGAGAAAGTGTGTGTGATGTACGCTCATTTGATGCCTCGGGGCAAGTGAAGATGTTGTGCGTGCGTATTTCAGCTGCTTCGCTTGCAACCCGAAACCTTGCCTCCTCGCCTTCTTTGGGTGCCTGGCACTTAGACGAGTTGTGATCCTTCCGCAAAAAAAATTTGGGAAAACGCTGTCAATTCGATACTATCCCCTTTACCTAAAGACCAATCCGCAGGCCTCCTCAGCCGGCTTCTCATCCTTAGTTTCCTTGGCTGCTTCCTTCGGCTCCTTTGCAGCTTCCTTTGGCTCCTTAGCGGCTTCTTTGGGCTCCTTAGCGGCTTCCTTGGGCTCCTTAGCGGCTTCTTTGGGCTCCTTAGCGGCTTCCTTGGGTTCCTTAGCGGCTTCCTTAGCGGCTTCCTTGGGCTCCTTTGCAGTTTCTTTTGCTGCCTGCCATTGCCAAAATTCGAGCACGGTGCAGTTTACTTCTGAGATGATGAGCTGAGTCGCAAGTCCTCACGTCCATATGTTCGCCTCATTTGTTTCTTTTGCGGCAGCCTGGAGAGAACCAAAAGCGAGCATGAGTTTTGCAGTCGTTTTCATAGCGCTGTTTCTACGGTCTATAGAGTCTATAGAGTATATAGAGTCTATAGAGTCTATAGAGTCTATAGAGTCTATGGAGTCTATAGAGTCTATAGTCTATTCTGCTATATCCTGCCCATTGTTACCAAGGTCTCAGAAAGAAACTCCTGGCGAACTAATGAGTGTTTTGGTGGCATTCATGCAGTCAGTCAAGACAGGTGTTTCGAAAATAAAGTCTGAGCCTCGCCATTGGGAGCAGCCTCCTGTTCACACAACTTCTTCAAATCAACCAGCGAGAAACACATAGATATCATAGATCATTGCAACATATCGCCTACAAAAAGGTGCTGGATTGAGATTCCCTGAGTGTTGTCTCCTCTGGAAAGGTGACCTCCTTCTCCGCATTTCCCTTTTTGGGGCTGTTGCTCGCCTTCGCAGCTGTTCTCAGGCAAGCCTATTCCTTCAAATACAGACCAATCTGCCGCGAGACCGGTCAGAATTCGCTAGGAAAGGTTTAATGCCTGTTGGCCATGGCTTGTTTTTTGGGGATTCGCATGTCCAGGAATGACGAAGCAGAAATGCGCAATAGTTAGTATAATTTTAAAAAAAACAAATCCGTTTAGGCGAGAATTTAGGCTCAGGCAAGAATTGCCGGTCGGGCAGGAAAAAGGTTACATAGACAGACAGGCAGACAGACAAACAGACAGACCGACCGACGGACGGACGGACGGGCGAAGGACGAGATAGATAGATAGACAGACAGACAGACAGACAGAGAGAGAGAAAGAGATAGATAGATAGATAGATAGATAGATAGAGAGAGAGACAGACAGACAGACAGACAGACAGACAGACAGACAGACAGACAGACAGACAGACAGACAGACAGACAGACAGACAGACAGACAGACAGAGAGAGAGACAGACAGACAGAGAGAGAGAGAGAGATAGATAGACAGATAGATAGATAGACAGACAGACAGACAGAGATAGATAGATAGATAGATAGATAGAATAAATAGATTGATAGAATAAATAGATAGAATAACTAGATAGAATAAATAGATAGAATAAATAGATAGAATAAATAGATAGAATAAATAGATAGAATAAAAAGATAGAATAAATAGATAGAATAAATAGATAGAATAAATAGATAGAATAAATAGATAGAATAAATAGGTAGAATAGATATATAGAATAGATATATAGAATAGATAGATAGAATAGATAGATAGAATAGATAGATAGAAAAGATAGAATAGATAGAATAGATAGAATAGATAGAATAGATAGAATAGATAGAAAGATAGATAGATAGATAGACAGACAGATAGATAGACAGACAGACAGACAGAGAGAGAGAGAGAGATAGATAGATAGATGGATAGATAGATAGACAGACAGACAGACAGAGAGAGAGAGAGAGAGATAGATAGATAGATAGATAGGCTAGCCTAGCTAGCCTAGCTAGCCTAGCTAGCCTAGCTAGCCTAGCTAGCCTAGCTAGCCTAGCTAGCCTAGCCAGCCTAGCCAGCCTAGCTAGCTAGCTATATAGGTAAGTAGATAGATAGGCAACTTCGAGGAAAGTGAATAAGAAAACGAATCTAGCATACGCATCATACTCTGGCAATGGTATGCAAAGGACGTGTGCACTGCATAGATTGGACGTCTCCATTCCATCCCATGCCCCAGGCCTTTGGAGACTTGACCGGTGGAAGAGCCACCTGTGGCCTCAACGCAGGAGAACTGCCGAGAAAATATGGAGGGATTGGTAGCTTGGGTGTCTCCATTCTCAGCCAGTCCTTGAGTGCGAAGTCCATGTGAAACAAAACATGTCCAAAAACTGTTCCAAGTTCCCAACGACAGCGTCTTCATATCTTCCATCATCTGGAGGCGCCTTGGCGAGTGCAAAGGGTCAAGATCATTGATCATTGGGGACATGTTTTTTCTCAATAAGCCTGCAGTGTAATGATGTAATGGACTCTGCTGCTTCACCTCGCATTTCCAACGACTGCCATTCTCTTGTTCAGCGTTTTCTTGTTGATTTGTGAGTGCAGCGCCGAAAGCCAGTGTCCTCTGACAAGAACTTCCGTTTGTCCCTGATCAATGAGGAGTTCGGAAGTTCGGACAGCCCTTTTGATGCCCAGTATTAGAAGCATCTGCCGCATCTGCCTCATATCGTCCACAATCTTCTTCCCTTGGGTCTCCAGTTCCAAAAGCTCCTTTGCAGCTAAGGAGCAAGTCGTGGTTTTTGTGCTTTGCAATTCAGAGCGGAAAAGAATATAAAAACAAGCAGGGCACAAGCAGGGCAAACAAAAATCGGCCTGGCGAGATGCTTCCAAGATTTGCTTCTCGGAGTTCAGTGCCTGCAGCTGCATACAGCATACACCGCAAAATCCGTACAGCTGAAGTCTGGAAGCTCTTCTCGGTCTTCATGGCTCAGTCTGGGCAGGAGACGTCAGTCAAGGCCTGAGCAAAAGGAGCGAGCAACAGCACTCAAAAATACTCATAATTCAGAATGTTGCTATATTGCACTGGTTTCATGCAGCACCGACTCGCAGTTTCCGCGGATTCTCTGGACCCGAACATCTTTGAATTTCTCTGGTTCGGGTCGTTTGGAACGCAGCTCCAGGCGCCGCTCGCAGACCTAAGGCTCAAACAGCAGTGCAGCAACACGCTTCAGTGCCATTCATTGCTTCAGTTTGTTTCAGTTGTGTATATATATATATCTATCTATCTATCTATCTATATGTGTGGGTGCGTATAATTTGTGGGCGAGACGGACACTGGCCGCTCAGCTGTTTTTACCCACGCACGCAAGTCGCGGGCGGCGGTCGAGACGACCCTGCAAGCAGCTACGCCTACGCTAAGCTAACGAGCCACTTGAGCCAAAAGGCATACACTGTACACTGTACAACGCAACAAGTGAAACACAAAAGACAGCTACGGTGGACCTACTGCACGGCTTAGCTACGTCTAGCTACACTCGCCCCTCAGCTGGGTTCAGCCACGTGCAAAGCCAGCTTTTCAAGTGCGGTCCACCGCGTAGTGTCGCGATACGCAGACACCACCGCGAGGTAGACTGAAAATGCGATGCCATACTGCACCAGATTTCAATCTTCCCCTCATTGGACTTCAGCAGCTGAACTGGCTGCGCCGGCCCTGCGTCGGTCGAAGCCTTGCTCTGTCTCGAACTGGTCGATATTCGAACCATTTTCAAATGCTTCTTCGAAGGCTGACTCCCAGCAACGGACCAGCTCTGTTCCAAAGTTTACGCTGATACCTATGCTGGCTTCCTTGTTGGCCTTCGAGCTCGTGGTGAAGTTACAACTTCCAACCAACATATCGACCTTGTCCCCAGGGTGGCACCAGATCATGACGCTTTTCGCGTGATGAAGCCCTTGGAGTCGGCTGCCAACGCGCACGGAGCGACCATCACTGCGGTAGGCCTGATTGACGCCTAGACCCGAAGCCAGTTTCACTTTGGTCCCTACGCTTCTCAATTCTTTCAGGACCTGAAGCTGCTGTTTGGTTTTTCCGGACGCCTGCGAACGATCGCAGACTAGGTAGGTATCGCAGCCACGGCTTGCTGCTGACCTAACGGCTTCCACGACGTCCGGCTGATCGAAATTGTAGGCCCTAATGCAAGCCTTGCTGCCCTTGCCCAGCTTGCTGAAATTGATCGTGATCCATTCAAAGACCTCGCCATCTTTCAGGAACACTACCTTGGCTTGGTCTCCGTCTCCACTGTGGTGGGCATGTTCGGGCAGCGCCAACAGGCTTTGCTCAGGCCTTTCTTCGACCAACCCAGTATCGAGGCTGAGGGATTCCCTGATGACCTTCCTTTTGAATGCACCATCATCCCTCTCTGAACTCCTTGCGGCCTCCTGGGCCGTCGGGTAGGCGGACGCAGCGCTCACTGTCAGCTGCTTGGCCTTCCCGACCAGTCCTTGGAAACAGCCAGAAAAGCTAGCCACAGAGCCTGCTTGGCCCAATGCTGCTTGGCCACGTCGCACAGCGACGGGTTGTTCTGGCCTGCTTGGAAGCGCAGTCAGCGCTGCCAAGGCTGCTTGGGTGTGCGGGCAGCTTCCTTTGCTCAAGAACGTCCGGCAAGCGCACCCTGCCTGCCGACCTGCTATCCGCACCCTGTGAAGACCCTTGGTGCCGGCCACGTCCCACAAGGTGACCTCTCCTCGCAGTTCCACGAGATGGGCCTTGTCCGTATTCCCGTGGCCATAGCGGCACCAAAAGTTCAGAACCTTACTGGACAGGTACCAGGTCATCATTACCTGGAGGGCGATGCCTGCAGCGGCGATCAGCATCTTGAGCTGATTTCCGCCTTCTGTCACGATCTCCTGGTAGGTTTCCACAGTGGTGGAGATCGCATCCTGGATGGCCTCCGAAGTGACCGCGACCACTTCTTCTGACTCCTTCAGAACCGGGAAAGCCATCAGGATGGCAAACGCTCCTGCCATTTGGTTAAGGTTCCAACCATTCCCGTTGGAGGCTCTCTTGGCCTGGTTACGGCTCTTCCGGCTGATGGACCAAGAGTACACCTTCTTTTTAGGCTTTTTCTTCTTACCCTTCTTGTGCGCCTTCTGGCTACCCGCGCGAGGTCGCGAATACGCAGACCCCGCCGCGCGCGCCACCTTGTGAAGGCGCTTCGCCACACCTGAGCGTCGGCCGACCTTTTTCTTGTGCTTGGCGCCACCCCTTTTCTTTTTCTTGGACCTCAGGTGGAGACCCTGCCGGGCTTCATCTTCCTTTTGAAATCCCGTAGGTCCCATGGCCTGGGATCCTCGACCGACCTTGTCATCCTCATCTGAAGACGGCAGGTCATGCTCAGGTCGGGCACGGCCGCACTTGTAGCACACATGCCTGAAGGCGAGGTTCTCGCTCTGACACCTGGCACAATTCCATTGCGAGGACCTGAGTGCCGCCTCCAAAGCAGTGCGGCGACTCCTTTTCTGACCCTTCGCAGGTCGGCTTCTAGCCCAAGCTCGGAAGTTGGCTGCATAGGTCCCTTCGCACCTTGATCCCTTGGACCATCCCACGCAGACATCACTGTCGGGCGGTGCGACCGTTCCACAAAGGTCACACTCCCAGCTGCCGGCCGCGTACGTCAGCTCCGGCACACCATCATCGACGTGCCAGGCTGCGCCCACTGCTAGGCGCGGTACTCCAGCCACCGCCTGCCTTTCCAACCGACGGCGAGCGTCGTCTTGACCCACCTCCTTGCGGTGCAGCGCTGCCCGCTTCCGCGCACGCAGCTCCCGCTTTAGCTGGCGGATAGGCTCTTGAGCCCTCACTCCTGCTGCAAACCTCGAGTCCGCCCCTTGGACTGTGGGTTGAGCGACTCCAGGAGCCAACGCCGCTTCGAGCCTATCGTCGGCGCCTTCCACAGTCCTGGCGACCGCCTTTCCGTACTCGTAGGCTTCGTACGTAGGCTCTGGTTTCCCAGCTCGGCGGCGAATCACCGCAGTAGCAGTCGCGCTTGCCGTGATTGCCTTGATGTTGCGATTCAGCTCCCGCTCACCTCCTTCTGTGGGGCGATCCTTCTGCTTCTCGACCAGTCTCGAGAGGGCTGGAGATCGTCCGAACTGGTGAGTCAACTCATCAACTGCAACCCCGGCCAGCGTGTTCTCCACCGCCCTCTGAGCCCACGTCCGACGGCTTGACGACCAGATATCCTGCCGCTCTTCCTTCGACATTTCACCACGTTGGCGGTTCGGCTCTCCGCTCTCTTCTCCGCGACCAGGCCGCGAAGACGCAGACCCGGCCCGCGGGGGCTCCTCCTCGGTTTTTACTTCTTCGAAGTTTGGGCCAACAGGGGACTCCTCCTTTACTTCTTCGAAGTTTGGGCCAACAGGGGACTCCTCCTTTACTTCTTCGAAGTCTGGATCAACAGGGGACTCCTCTTTGACTTCTTCGAAGTCTGGATCGACAGGGGACTCCTCTTTGACATCCTTTCCGTCATCTGGAGCCGCGGGTGCAATGACCTCTTTCCCTTGTGAGTCGCGAACGACCCCTGAACTGCTTGCTTGTTCTGGTCCAGTTGCACGCCCCTCAGGTCGAGGAGTGCTCTCTGCTTCACTTTCCGAAGAGGAGCTTGTCGTATCATACGAATCTCCTGTTGGCAGCGGCTCTGCTTCTGCAAAGCCTACGTCCGGAGTCCACAAGGTCGCTCCGAGACCTCCCGAATCATGGTAGTAGACTCGGATGCTTTCAAATGCTTTGGCCGGAACATCAGACGACAGGATTACTCCATCCTTTCCTTGGCGGAGGGAGCAACCGGCGTCGCGCAGGTCGTCTATTGTAGACAGAACAGCCACATCTGCACCGCCTCGAACACCTGCTTTATTGCCTTCGACCCCTTCCGCGTTGGCGGACCAGTGGACGAACAGCCGCCCTTCTCCGACTCGACCCGTTCCGCCAGCAAGCAACCCCTTTTCTGCTATTCCGGCAACACGCTCCTTGAACATGCCATGCAGGAGTCGCGTGCTACCGGGCAGGCTGACCTTGCTGGTGAAGTCATGAGGTCGAAGCCCGCTGTCCGAGGAGTGGCCCTGTAAGGCGCGCACCCAGTCCCCAAGACTTTCCAGGCGCACCTTGGGACCGCGGCTTTGCCACTCGACAGACCTCCTCACGTCTTCGACCGCGACTCCGACTCGGTCCGCAACCAGACGGATAGGTGCCCAACCATCCGCTTGCAACTGGCCACGCATCCCGTATTCTCCATGTCGGAGGGCCCGCGTCAGGGCATACTCCAGGTCGCCCCAATTCTTCTGCGGGTTCCTTCGACCACGGTGCGCCTTTTTCCACGACGCCATTGTGCCGCGGTCGAGTGGCGAACCGCACACTCGACCCGCGGCTTCGCGGTCAGGTCGCGAAACGCTAACCTGACCCGCGATGGGTTTCCACTGCTTTGGTATTCCGGTCCTTCGGCAGCTGGCGAACCTAACCACGCGACCACCGACCTGCTCACCAAACCCAGACCCAACCCGGAAGCTGGGCTTCGAGCCAAACAGCTGCGGGAAACCACACCTGGACCCAGACAACCACCTGGACCCAACCAACCACCTAGACCTAACCAACCTCACGACCAGGAAACCTAACACAACCTTAGAACCACGACCACCAAAACGCGTCGTGGGGGAAAGCCGCCCTACAGACCGCGCTACAGCTCTGGTGGGGTAATTATGGTCCGATTCCTTTTCGTCATGCTTAACCTTAGGGGTCGAACCTACATTCCCTGGTTTGATACCTAGGGCATCCATAGCTTCCTTTGGGGGTTGACCGACTCCTACAGGTGAGGCGCGCATCGCTCTTTTGATCTCTTCGTCGAATTCCTTGTCAGTCATGAACTTTTTGTCTATGACTCTTCCCGTTCGCACTGTGAGATCGTCCACATAGGCGATCCACTCCTTGGTATATTTCATTTGCCTGCCTCGTCCTGGACCGAAAGCGCGGTCCACGACGTAGGAGAAATCATCCGGCCCGTTCACAGGCCCGAACGTCAGGCAAACGGGGAGAAACTTGCCAGAGCGTGCTACGATGGCTAGCACCTCCATAGCCCTTCTGGTATTCTCGATTTGGTTGAACCCCGTGACCGCATCCACGAAGGAATACCAGATGGACCCCGCACATTGGGACAGGACGTCCGTTGCCTTCCTGCAGTAGTATGTGCTCCTCAGCACCCGGGCATTTACGCGCCGGTAATCTACCACCAGGCGTCTCTTGCGACTCCTCTTGTGGGCTGGTGCCTCCTTTGTCGGAAATGGTGGGGAACCCCAGGCAGACGCTCCACGGACCAATTGGCCACGCTGCACCTCTTCCTCCAATCGCTCATCCACCCACGCTGCACTTTCTCCCTTGAGGGAATGGGGTTGAAGCGATACCGGGGGTCCTGTTGGGACGCAATCATGGGCAACGCTTCGGACCGTAGTCCTTGGCGTGCCTTCTAGCCAAAAAGCCGCCGCCTTCCTGGATAGGACATCTCTACAGGCCCCGAGATCGTCTGCATTCAATCCCGAAGTAGGTGTCGCGTCAACACCAAATCCAAGTCCATCGACAACCTGCTTCCGGTATTCAGGCGTCCTCCTCGGATCATCTACCACTTCCTGTCCGCTAAGACGGTAGACAGCAAGATCCGCTTTGACTCCATCCCAGTCACCTTTGGACGCTCTTTCGTCCCACAGCTTGGTCATCCTTTGATGCAGCTCTGCAAGCTCCTGCTCGAGCTTCTCCCGACTCCGAGGCGAAAGATCCGGACCAACGTTCACGTCCTGGTCGGGGATCTTCGCAGCTTCCATGTCCCGCGCATCGGCGGATCCACCGCCAGATACCGCGAATACGTCTCCTTGCAAGGACCGCGCGTCGACGGGAAACCCAATCGGTGCCGCGGCGAAGCTGGAACTATCCAACCTCTTCAGGTTTCGTATCTGGAGATTGCGAGCTAGAAGTGCTTGCTTGGTCAACCGCCAGTAAGTACTACAACAGACCGACGTGTAGTCTCCCTTCTGGTCGTCCGAGCGGCCAGAGTCATGCACATGTTCAGTAGCAGAAAGAGCATCTGGCCGACCACAACGGGCACTCAGCTCAGACAAATCGTAGTTGGCTAGCCACAACTGCGCACCTTCGACACCCAAACCATATTGGCACTGGTCTACCCTGACCACGTTCCATGGTTTAGCCGGTTGGCGCAGAGGGCCAAAAGCAGAGACGAAATCGTTTGCACCGACGACTTCAGAGTGAAGAGGAACTTCCAAGGTCCCCAGCCTCCCTTGGTCTTGCTGACCCTTAAGTATCGCCACCACATCAGCCCCAGGCCCAGCAGAGCGCTCGGAAGGCAGCTTGATGTGAATGACCAGCGGCTCTAGCCACTCGATCAGCCGACTTACTAGTTCCTGATCCAGCACCTGGGTCAGATCCCAACTTCGACCATAGGACGGACTCCCACCGTTAACAGCTGGAGCACACACAAGACCCAAAGAGCGCGCTACAGAGGTCAGCATTGCAGTTTCTGAGCCAATTTCCAAGAAAACCACCTTGGAGGCTCGGCCGTGCTGGATCAACCAGCGATGAAGACCTTCGACGGGCCCCTGAGCGGCTACCACACTGCTGGGCGGCGTCTCGAAGACGAGGACGCCCGCCACAGGTTGGACGCCCCTCAGCTCGGCGGTTTCGGCGATGCCGACTGCATCTTCGTGAAGGCGATAGCCAGCCTTGTCCAGCTTCCGGCTAGTAGCAGCTGCGAGCACGCCATCCTTGGAGATGTCGGCCTTGGTGATAACTTCCTTCAGGCGGACCTGGTCCAAGGACGGACGGGTGCCATCTGCAGACACTTCTCCGTGCTCATCCAAATAAGCGAGGACCCATTTGACTCGGAGGGAGCCGATCAGAGGCCTGTAGACGTGAACCCCAATGGTACCTTCTGCGACGGATACCTGGGTCACCCTGCCCAACTTGCAGACCTTGGCTCCACGGGTGTACGCCACAGAATCCCCAATACGAAGGACGAATTGGCGACCCCTGCGTTGCATCACGAACTCGTACTGCTCACCTTGACCATGCATTCGTTGGCCGAGAGAAGGGGCAGCACCTTGCGCATCTTGCGACAGATCCAATTCCACAACAGGAAGACGCTCCTCAACGTCTCCTGGGACTATAACACAATCTTCAGCGTGAGCTTCAAAAGGGCCTTGGCGATCCTTGTCTGTGATGCCCGGGACGGAACGCAGCACCAGCTTGTTGCCGTGAACCGAAACAATTTCCCACGGACCGGACAGACCACGACGCCACGGAACACGCCCCGCCCCCTCTGGCCGAGACGTGGGGGAATGCCAAACGACACGATCCCCTGGCTTCAAATCAACAGATCGCCGATACCGATTGGCCAGCTTTGCACGTGCTTCTGAAGACTGCTCCCAATGCTTCTGGACTTTCTTGGCAAGGACAGAGAACTGACCGAACTGTCTTCTAGACCAATCAGACATAGGTTCAAACTGCATTGCCTCCCGGACCAAGTCCTTTTCGAGTCCAAAACCCAAAGACCAGGCCCGTTCCAGGTCTCTCGGGCAATACCCATGTGGCCCAGGACTTGTGTCCAGCATGAATTCCACCAAGGGGAGGAGCTCTGACCATTCGTCAGACTCTCCGCGGACCAGTTCCTTCACAATGATCCCCAAAACCTTTTGCACTTCCTGGTGCATCCGCTCATTGGCTCCCATCTCACATGGTCTCATGGCCATGCTGAAGCGCTGCTGGACTCCCATCAAGGCGCAGAACTCTGCCATCATGGTGTTCTTGAATTCCGTGCCTCTGTCACTTCTGACCAACGTGGAGTCCTTGAGCGGAAGATGCAACTAGCGAAGCTTCTCCGGACTTCCGCGTGCGTCAAGGACCTCATTGGTTCTATCAGCACCGCGTGCGACAAACAGTCCAGATAGGTGAGGGTATATCGGTAGCCTCACCGGTCTTCACGATTAGGACCTTCACAATCAACTGACACCTCTTGCCAGCACGAATCAGCAAGACACTTCATTGACTGCGCAGTGACCTTAGTCGGCCTTGACCTTGCCTTGAGGCATGCCAAACACTGGCTTGTCCACTTCTTGACGTCCTCCTGCATGGACGGCCACCAAACGGCTCTGGAGAGAATTTGCAGCGTTCTTTCTGCGGAACGATGCCCCCCAGTAGCACCATAATGGGCTTGGTCAAAGCAGCTTTTCCTGAACGTGAGTCCATTAATCCCCACGATTCCAATTGGAATAACAGGAACCCAGACCTTGTCTCCAGTGACTAAAGCCACTTGCCGTTCCAAAAGGCCATCCGCCCCCAGGCGGAAAGGATCACCGGTCCTTCGGAAGTGGCCAGCCAGCGACTCATCCTTTCTCTGCGCCTCGTACCAAAGGCTGCGCAAAGAGCCCGTCACCGAGAATTCCGCGACTCCGGCGTGGACACGGGCTTCCTCAGCTAGCTCAGCTCTCAGCCGTCCAACGTCCTGGCCTGACGGCACGTCTTCATCAAGACCGTCCTCGAGAGCCACATATGTAGAGCCACCGTGAGAAGGCTGACGGGACTCGGGCTCCTCAAGGTTCCCAAGCCATTGCGTCATAACCCAAGCCTTAGAACGAACTTCTACGACCATCCTGATCTTCCAGTCCTGCCCAAGAAATGCCAAGGTCGGCCGAGACCCATGCTCGTCGACTTTGACCTTTTTCCCCAGTTCTAGTTCAAACCAGAAACTCCCTGGTGTAGGTCTGGAGAAGGCCACCAACACTTCCTTCTGAACCAGATCTCGACGATGGCCGATGCTGGCCTTTCCGTCACCATCATCCCATTTTACCACTTTGGTGACCTGGCCCAGCAGGGATAGGAGCCTCGCGAATCCCGCAGGCCAGTCAAGCCGCGGATTCTCATCGCTCCACAGCTTTGAGCACACTTGGTCCACTAAGGCCATATGATTGAACCAATTGACACGATCCACATGCCATTTCGGCTTGCAAGGCTTCACCCGATCAGCCTGACAGCAATTTCGAAGTTGACAGACGCTCCCGTCCTCTTGAACACTCCAGAGGACGATGAACTTCCAAGGCCGCTCCGCAGCACACTCCGCTGGGAACGCCTCACCGCGTCTCCAAGCTCGGATCCGAACTTGTCCGAACCCGCCCGGAACATCATGAAATCCAGAGGGCATTTTCGAATCGATCCATAGCTGGACCCATCTGACAATCGTGGGACTTTTCAGAACGTAAACCCTGGAGCGACCTCCATGATCTGAAAAATAAGAAAGTATTTCCTCGGCGAGCAGCTCGGCTTCAGGGAGGACTTCGGCATCTTTTTCTGCCAGGGCCCTAGCGGAAGCTTCCATATCATCCGCTGCTTCCTTCTGAATGCAGGACACACATCTTGCGAACACATATGCTCGCTTCCCACATGCGCACTGCCCATTGTGCTCGAACACTTCGATCGAAGGCTCCTTGGCCAAACTGATCAAATTCACGGAAGCGATCTCTTTGATCTCCCCAGCTTTAAGCACTTCCGTGACCCGACGAACACCTTCCAGGTTTGGGCCACGTGTCACAATTCCATATGCCCTGAGAGGCTCAACCGGAAACTCCTTTCCAATTTCAGGACAGGAAAGAAGGAGCAGATCCGCCCCCGGGGAAGTCTTCCACATCCGCGGGTTGATGGCCCAAAATGCCTTGATCTGAGCCCATCCAGCCACGACAGTTTGGATTTCTTTTCGCTGCAGGTTTCGAGCCTGCAACGTAACTTCCACCACCAAAGGAAAACGAAGCATGCCGGCAATGATGCCGCCCTGGCCGAGTCCCACCACGAAATCGGGCAAGTACCCGCCAATGCTCCGAAGTGCCTTAGCACTCGAAGTCAGGAGATCCACCCTGACCCGCTTGGTCTGCCTGTCTCCTTTCAACAGGGCGTTCGCGCCATCCAGGTGCGAGCAACGACCATTATCATCCTCAAAGGCCCCGTAGGTAGCTCTTACTCCCACGGAGGTTCCAGGCATCGAATGCTGGAAACACAATTGGATCTTTTGAACTTCTGCGGCCGTACGGCCGGCTTCTTCGTAATCGGCAATAACCAAAACTTTGATTTCAGACCCTGACACACCTCCCGCGTAGCTGCGCGAAACAACGCAGCTACCGCTGGAGAATGAGCCAGTGTGCTCGGCGCGACGACGCGATTCGCTGTCGTCACCGCCAGGAGACGGGACGGCATCATTTCCGATAGCCCAAGCAACTGGGATGTCCGGATCTTCCGTTCCATCACCCAGGTACTCTTCCAGATTGAATCCTTTAAGCTGACCGGCAAGGCCTTCCAAGTCCTTGGTCCGTTCCTGTAGCAGCTCATCTCTTTCCTTCGGATTTCTGGAGAACCCGTCTCCTAATTTGGCACTACGGCCGCTCAACGACCTGATTTCAGAACCATCTGCAAGGATCTCGGCGATCCATCGAACTAGCTTGACATCACCGCCAATATCGATGTGCTGAGCTCTCGTCAGGTTTGAGTGGTCCGTCCAACAAATTGAACGGATAGTTCCGAACGTCTTGCGGGCAGCACGCTTCACCTCCAGCTGAGCAAATGCCTCTTGCACCAACGGAGCCCATGACTGTTGGGCTGGGGTCAGACTTTTAGAGTGAGTCATCAAAACTTTCATCTGAGTCAGATCCCGGCTCATCTGGAGCACAGTGCCACCAACAGCATATCCGCTCGCGTCGGCAACTTGCTCCAAAGGGCACTCACCTGTGATTGCCGACGCTTCGTCAAAGACTGAGAGACAGATAGCCGATTCCAGCATCTTTTTGATTGCTCTGACGGCTTTACACCCGTCTGAATTGCCCGCGCCTAACCCTTCTGGAGGGAAGGCCGCGCCTGGCTTTTGGTAAGCTGAGAGCACCTTTGCGCAATGTCCGAACTCTGAGGGCAAGTACGTTCTCAACCAATTTGCAGAACCAAGGAATTGTTGAATGTGCAACTTCTCCTTGAGTGGCGCAAAGTCACGGACCGCTTGAGCGCGTTCCGGATCAGGGGAAGATCCTGACCTTCCGATGATATGTCCCAAGAGTTTCCCTCCAGTACGGCACAGCTCAGCCTTCCCGACGCCATAGCTGAACCCGAAGATGATCGATTTGTCCAAGAAGCCCTCGAGCGACACCAAATGATCCAAGAGGAATCTGTCCGCGGAAGGGTACCTCTTGCCAAGATCATTCCGAAGAGCCTCATAATACCGATCCGTCGGCGTCTCCTCCGCCATGCGCTCGATTCCTCCCGGGACTTCCACAATGTGGTACACCGCCTCCGTGCACGTACTTCTCCAATCACGAAAATTGTGGACGCCTCCGCTTGAACGCCAGAAAAACCTGGTCTCTCCTGTCCATGTTTTGCCGGAGAGCTGTCCGGACGGATCGTGACGCCAGTCATCCTCAACTGTCATCAACTGGCCATCCGTGCATTTCGCGCACGTGACCCGACGATCCGACAAGCCATCTAAGGACCATGGGCAATCTGACGTTTCCGGAATATAGAGACTGTCCCGCGACTCATAGTGAGCGCGGACAACTCCACCTGGAAACGTGGACCACCGATCCAGTTCACATTGGCCATCCTGGTATGCCATCATGGAGCTGCTTCCTGCTAAGGCCCCGAGGCCGACCACGAAGGCGAGCGCGGCAGAGCGCCATATGCTCCGCCTCCGACTTCCACTGCAGGAACGACAACCTTGGAGCGCAGTTGCCTCATAAGCCCCCGTTCTTCCGCATGTTTGGCAGAATTGTTCTGCCAGAGAGCTATTCACGGCTCCGCATTCTCCGCAGCGGTCTTCCGCAGCACCTTCTAGGATGGTTTCCACAGCGCCACACTCGCAAGTTCCTGAACTCACGAAACCAGACCTCAGCTCTCCAACTGGAGTTCCTTTTTCCAGCGCCACAGGCTCGTCCCGAGCCGCAACTAGAAGCATGCCTTGGGACGCTCCCGTAGGCCATACACCTGGGACGGCCTCCACTGATCCTTCTATGGGCAACGCAGCTTCTACTACGGAAACTTCCGCGATGCGAAACCCAGACTCCACTGGGATGAGAGCACCTTCTCCTGGTTCCAACGTCACAGGTTCCTCTCCATCGTAGTAGAGTAAGGTTCGGTTCGAACAGACCTCAGGTTCGAAAGCCCCTACTAGTCCCCCGTCCACTGCCGATAACGTGGATTCGAAGGCGTAGGCTCTGTCCTTCCGCTCAGCGCTCAGATCCTCGCAACGAGGCATCAGGAGCCCCAATGCATCCAAGATGTGAGCCGATGGGCCTGGACGAAAACCCAACCCGCGACGAGCCTCGCAATCGAGAGCTCGCCCGCCGATGATCAGGCCATGCCAGTCACTCGTTCCTCTTGCGGCGATCTTGCAGCGGAGGAATATCTCCGGCCCATCCCGACATCGATTCGGATCAACTCCTTCTTGGAGCCTGACCCTCAGGACGACGGCTCCCTTCAGAGGAACCGGGGACCCACTGGCTATCCCGTGGACGAACTCCTGGTAGACCCACTTTTCAAACTGGACCACAGGGAACTTCGGGTCTTCGGGGGTCAGTCCCAGCGATGCGGCTCGATTGAGAATCGAAACAACCAGCTCCTCAGTAACATGATTGGAACCAGCACAACCATCCAGCATGGTCTCGACTCCAACTCCCAAGATCTTCGTGATCGTTTTGTATTGATATCCACCCTTTTCATTCTGCACCACCTTCCACCAATCCTGAGGCAATTGGTCTAGTTCAGTGAAAGGCTGCCCATTTGACTGGCCACTCGGGCGCGGCTCGGTCGCGAAGACGCTGACCTTGCCCGCGCCGTCGTCCTCGATCTCGGACTGGCCAGGTTGAGCCACGACAACGGAGAAAGCAGCAAATGGATTATTCATGGCTGCCCCGCTGGGAGCACCCCATCCAGCGGGCATGGTTCCGCTTGAAGAGGCGGCAGTGGAAGCGGCCAAAGTATGCGACATATCGCAGCTGTCGCCCTTCTTACATGCTCCTCTTTTGGCAAAGAACGGGCACTGCTTCTGCGATTTGTCCGGCTTATCGCTCCTTTCAGCTTGCTTCTTAGGCTCGGCCTTAGCCTTGGGCTTCGGCCCCTTTCCGCCTTTACCACCTCCTTTTGCGGGGAGTGCGGACGAGGATGGTTGAGCACCGCCGCCCTGGCCTCCCTTTCCTTGCTGCTTGAGACGCTCAAGTTCACGCTTTCTCAGCTCCTTGTCATGGGAGTAAGGGCAACCTGAACCCTTACTGCAGCTACCGTGGTCCCGGAAGTGCCAGCATATCTTATCCTTCCGAGGATCACCTGCGGTGATTGCAATGTTTGCACCCGGTGCTGGGCCTTCCTTAGCATCCTTCTTCAACTTCTTCGGGTGCTTTGGTCGGCCATTTGGACGGTCTTCACCTTCACCTTGGAGTGTGTAGACTGCACTCGCGGTAGCTCGGTTGGTTGCCTCCCGTTGCTCGAATTCGAGGACAACCTTGTGGGCCTCTTCCCATGTCTGAGGTCCCCTCAGAACTGCTTCGGAGCCCCATAGCCTCTTATCTCCTCTGATCTCCTTTTGAAGCGTAGGGCTGACCTTTCGAAGATAGCTCAGGAAAAGTTCTCGAGGAGTCTTGCCAAGGCCGACCGACTCGAGCTCCGCCACCGAATGCTCAAACAACGGTTCGAACTGGTGCCCGGTAAGCTTCCCTTTTGCCAGGCTGGCATGCTCGCTGTCGATGCGAATCTCACGTTCTTCTCTGGACTCACTGAACATGAGATGCTTGGCTTTGATTCGCTCGTAGACCGTTTCCGGGCTGTTCACAACCTCTCCGGCTTGCCAGGCGGTCTTGTACAGGTTCTGGTACGTCTTCAGACGACTACCCCTGCATCTGGACCGGAGTGCTAACAGCATCTCCCTCGCACTCATTCCTTTGCAAGAGTTGGCTAGGCCGCAGATGTCCTCAAACTCCTCATAAAATTGGGTCACATCGCGAAAATCAGAGCGATCGTCTCCAAGTGTCGGCCAGTGGAGATCCGTTTTGACCGCGGTCACAGAACTGGTACTGCGACCCGCGAGGGCTTCCTTCAGCACCTTTGTCTGTGCTTCCAAAGCCGCGGCAAGCCCGCCAACCGACTCCACCGATCCTCCGGCATCCGACATCGCCCCTGTGTCCTTCTTCGGTGCTCTTAGAGCTTCCACTTCCATTTCTAAGGCTGCGAGCTTAGCTTTTAAAGCGAAACTCTCGCCTCCAGGAGACTTGTCACCTCTTCCAGCAGGACCTGAGGGGCCATCCTTCTTTGCTCCGCTTCCTTTGGAATCGGATGGAGTACTGAAAACCTTGTCAGGACTCGCACTTGGATACCCTCCCAGCTGCTGAATGATCTCTCCCACCGCTCCGATAGAGAGGTCTTTCTCTCGAGGACTCATCTTGTCGTCCAAGGCATACGCCGTGAACTTGTCCCTCAGAACTGCTACGGCGCGTCTTCGATCCATAGTGCCGATTTCACCGTACAGCTCGATCAAGATCTCAGCCTTGCAGGTGATCAAGTCAAGCGTGTTAGGAGCACACCCTGCGTCCAAGACCTGAAGTGCAGTGACGATTCGTCCCATTCGTAAGAGATAGTCACCCAGGTCTTCTTTTTCAGGATCGTAAAGGGCTCTGATCTGGGCTCTCAAGCCAGTCACGCTTGCAGCCGCAGAACCTGCAACAGAAGGAGTCGGGCTGCCCTCAGGCGGTTCGGACGGACTGGGTGAAACCGCGTGAGGAATCGCCAGAACCCCTTCAGGACTTCCTTCCATTTCTCCTTCCTCATCTTCTTCTCCGAGCGCATCTGCTCGATCGTCTCCATAGAGATGCCGCATGACTTCTCTCCACAGCTCTACCTCTTCAGCAGTGGTCAGGCCTCGTCCATCCCGTCGACGCGTAGGTCTCATGCCTTCGCCGCGTCGCCAGGCTTGCCATCTCGGGAAAGTCATTTCAGCGGGGCGCGGGATCCGACCCGCATCAATTGCATCCAGCAATGTCACCCCTTCAGCTTCTCCTGACACTTCACGGCTCATTGCGGCAGGAATGCGCAAACAGCGCAGACCCTACCGCGCAGCGGCGCGAAGCGCAGACCGCTGCCGCGGGTAGCGCGTCAAAGCGCGAACCGCGACAGTGACCGCGACTCCCTGGCTGAACTTAACAGCACAGGTTTCCCAGAACAGCCCCCAATTGTGGGCGAGACGGACCCCGGCCGCTCAGCTGTTTTCACCCACGCGTGCAAGTCGCGGGCGGCGGTCGAGACGACCCTGCAAGCAGCTACGCCTACGCTAAGCTAACGAGCCACTTGAGCCAAAAGGCATACACTGTACACTGTAAAACGCAACAAGTGAAACACAAAAGACAGCTACGGTGGACCTACTGCACGGCTTAGCTACGTCTAGCTACAATACCAACATACCAACATACCAACATACCACCACCACAGGCCACAGGGGGGGGGGGACCAGAAGAACCATACCATCATCCCAGGCCACAGGGGGGGGGACCATGGGGGGGGAGGGTGGGGGGCTTGGGAGTCCTGGGTCATATATACATATATACATATATACATTTATACATATATACATATATACATATATACATATATACATATAATACATATATACATATATACATATATACATATATACGTATATACGTATATACATATATTCATATACATATATATATATATATGTACATATTTATATATATATATACATGTACATATATTTATATATACATGTACATATATTTATATATACATGTACATATATATATATATATACATATATGAACATGTGCTAGGGTCAAAACATGGTATATGGTTTATGGTCGTCCGTCCCGTAATGGGAATCCTTCTCATAGGTATATAAATAAATCACGATAAACCCCTATTATGAAGGGATTGATGGCCATCCACTAAATACTGGGAAGGATATCATCCAATATGCCGTTTGGCGCAGCCCAGTGGCCATGAGCAGAAACATCACACTCTGGGCTTGGTCTGGATATTGACCTGTTGTGATGCAGGAAGACCACTCTGTCCCTCAAAATGGAAAGTGAGGATTTAAGAACATTACCCATTCTGCCCATTCTAGCTCTGCTCTATTTTTGGTACAGATTTGATCCATGGCCCATGACCCTGTGGAATCAACCTTAATCATTGAATCGCATCAATTTGGGATTCCAGCCTGCCCGATTGTTGAGATACTTACACAGGAAAGTATACTGGCTTCCAAAATTTACGGCCGGTAAAGTTGGATCTAATCCATCATCTCCTTAGTCTGAAATACCCTGACCTGTGCAGGCATGAAGAGCTCGAATCAGAAGTCGGCGATAGTCCAGGTTGCCCTCAGTGTTTGAAGCCTGCATGGCCCCATGGCGGGCATTGGGTTTGTCTTAAAATTTTGAACACTCAAGGTGGTTTCCAACCAAGTTTACTAACTTGCTTTTATGGTGATAATAACTCTAGTTAGAGGATGGGTTATTCATTTGTCCAACTTATAACTAGGGGGCACCATATTGTTCTATATACAATCCCCCACTTTGGGACAAACCCCTCTCATCTTGTTGGTTTTGGACAAACCCCTATCCCGTGATGTTCCAATTCCCAATCTTGGACGCTTAAATCACAAATGTTAGTAAAGCAATGCCATAAACCACTCATATGTTGATGTTTTATACCCATGTATGGTAAATTTTGGGATAGTTTACTATTGCCTTTCCAACATAAATTTCTGTTTCTTAAATTCGGCAGTTTTTCAGCTGGCACCTCGTACCCCAGAGTCTTTATCACCTCCTTCTTCAGCAATGCCACAATATCCTGCGCGTATGTATACAACTGGCATAAAACCAATCATGATTGGGATGTGATGGGGAAATGCAAGGATAATATAATGGGCCATATGAAAATATGTACAAATATATATATATACATACATACATACATACATACATTACATTACATTACATTGCATTGCATTGCATTGCGTTGCATTGCATTGCATTGCATTGCATTGCGTTGCGTTGCATTGCATTGCATTGCATTGCATTACATTACATTACATGACATTACATTACATTACATACATACCATAACATACCATAACATACCATAACATACCATAACATACCATAACATAACATGCCATAACATACCATAACATACCATAACATACCATAACATAACATAACATGACATGACATGACATGACCTAACATAACATAACATAACATGACATGACATAACATTACATAACATTACATTACATACATACATACGTACATACGTACATACGTACATACGTACATACGTACATACGTACATACGTACATACGTACATACGTACATACGTACATACGTACATACGTACATACGTACATACGTACATACATACATACATACATACATACATATATATGTGTGAAACCAACAAATTCCGATTTGGCTATGGCAACAAAAATTGTGTGTCTTTTTGGACACGCGCAATTAATAAGTTAACAATCCTTTTTGGGGGTATATTATATAGTGATGAGCCATTCAGATATGTTACATCCCACATACCTAGAGCTGAAATAGAACCATATTTGGTGGGATGATTTGGCAGCAGATCTCCTTGATATTGCGCGGGCTAACCAAAGAGCCCAAGCAAATGTCCACCACCTGGAGAAGTCAAGAGAAGCTGCTGCATCCACAGGCCCTCTGTTGAACTGCTGCCATGTGCATATCTCAATCAGACCATGGCATGCACTTCAATACAATCAAAAAAGACCGTCGCATTTCAAGCCACACCATGCCACTTTTCGGGCTTCTCAGGATCGGATGTGCAGCCCCTCTTGGAGGGACATGGGATTGGGTCGCTGGTCAACCGTCTTCAATAGAAGGATACGCTTTTCCGGTGCACCTTCGGTGCTGAACCTGCAGCCTGAATTTGGGTTTGCCGGTAGGGGATTGACCCGCAATTTATGGCTAGCAAGTACAGACAGAAATGATGACATAGACTGTAAACTGCTGTAAACTATGATATGTTTGACAGTTTTATGGTAATATGTTCAGGTGCCAAACCCATTTAAACATTTTCAACCCTTCCCGCTTCAAGAGCACTGTCAGATTGGAAGCGCCAAAGCATTCCAGCTTTGAGATGTTGTGTGTTCCCACTTGCAGTTTTGGTGCACAGAGGGTATACAAAGAAAATATCGGCGAAAGATGTGCCATGAGTGCTTCCTTGTGCGGGAGAGCACACAGAAAAAGAGATGGTTCATCCAACATCCAAAGCGCCCAAGGGTCTGCAGTTCTTAGTCACTTAGTGACCCTAGAAATGGATTTCCCCCATGAATTCCCCATGATTTCCCCATGATAGTTGATGGCTTTGACCTCATGCGCTCTGGATGTTGACACCTCCCACCTGCCAGGAAAACTGGGTAAACCCAGTAACAATCCTTCATTATTGACATTATTGGGATGTGTGCTTTAGGCCACCCATTTCTGTGGCAAGTCGGCTACGATGGTGGTTCTGCAGTTTTGGGTTTACCGCATAAACTGAACTTCGCAAGTGGCACCAAGTTCTTGTCATCATCTGCTTCCAAGGCAATGCACAAATTACTGAAGCAGTCAATATCCTTCCTAGTGAAGAAATCATCCACTGTGACCCAGTTTCCTGTCTTTCTGGACCTTGTGTGACTTGATGGACCACTTAAGTCAAGCTCAAATCATTAGATCAAACCGTGCTGCGGCTTGTTGGTCCTATCAGTTGCGCTCGAGCTCTCAGAAAAGCTTCCAATATTGCTTCCAAACTGGGAGAAGCTGACGATTCATGTGGAGGACGCTTGAACAGTTGAAGCTCTTCCAGCTTTCAAAGCATCGGGGATTCAGAGAACTTGGCTGGAACACAGGAACAACAGTCATCCAAGTTTGCACACAAACTACACCATGAAAGCCTTGGAAGATTGGTCGGTTGGTCCAATGAATTGGGAAATACAAAACCGGCCAGTTTATAAAATCATTGGGAATATACTGAACATATGTATACATAATATGATATGCACATCACTCCATCAAAACGGCCACAACTTGAATTTTTTGTCATCTCTGGGGATCTGTCTCTAAGATCATCTGGGCCAGGCCTGAAATCGGTGCCATGGATGCCTTGAAGATCGGCGCATCAAGAAATGGTACAATTGTCGTTGCAGCCTTGGCCATAGCCTTCGGCTACTCGACGAGGTGACCAGCGCCGAGCCTTCCGAACAGACAACTGCTGGCTTTTGTAGATGAAATACCGTGAGCTCTGTGGCGCAATACAAAACTAAACAATAAGTGGCTAGGTTTGGGGATACTGTATATTTTCGGTATGACATGGAAGGGATCAGAAGGATCTACGCGAATATCTCCAATAATATAGAAAAAAAACATCCCCCTGATGTTAGCATGCTAAACACACCAACATGTGTTCCAAATGTGTGTAAATCCCTGCTAAACCATGGTCTCTGGGGAGTGTTTAAATATTAAAGGGAAGGAATTATATCCAATTTTATCCATCATTACTAATCACTACCTAATTTTGCATGGTTGAATTAGGTAGATCTCAATTTTTGTTGCTTATAAACCAACCAGATCCATTTCACCTGCCACCGAAACCTGCCTTGAGCGCGGCACTCACCATTGCAATATCGTCACCGAGAGGTTGCTTGGCCAGTCCGTCCTGTGAAATAAAAACAGATGCCAGCCACAGATGGATGGATACATAGATATGCATATACATATACATGTACGTGTACATGTACATATACATATACATATACATATACATATACATATACAATGTTTATGTATATATATATACATATATATATCATTGCATGTATAGATAAATATATTATTTACATATAATGTAAAATATACCATGTATATGTATAATGTATGTATCTAATGTATATATATACCATGTGTAATATGAATAATATGTATATATAATGTGTATATATATATAATGTATATATATAATGTGTGTATATATATATTGTGTATACATATAGTGTATATATAATGTAAATACATATATAAGGTATACATAATGTATATATAATGGATTTATAATGCATATATAATGTATATATAATGTAAATACATATGTAAGGTATACATAATGTATATATAATGTATTTATAACGTGTATATATATATATAACCTATATATAATGTGCATATAATGTATATAAAATGTAAAATATAATGTATATATAATGTATATAATGTATATATAATGTATATATAATGTATATATAATGTATATATAATGTATATACCATTTATATATATAATGTATATATAATGTATATATAATGTATATATATATAATGAACGTATATATTTAATATGCATGTAAATATTCTATATGCGTACATTGTTTAAATATGATTAGATGTGATTTGATTAGGCATTTTACAAAACAATATACATTGATAATGACATATATGAACGCTCATATAGCTAAGCTAATGCGTAGATTGTTTGTCTACTCAGATTAGATCATGGCCTCCCCAGACCCTAATTGCAGCTATTTTCTCTTGGCGCGGTGGGCTTGTTGACCTTCTTGATTCTTTGGGCTAATCTCAGCTGGTGGTGGGGCCATCACAAACATATTTGCTCCTCAATTGAGCAGTGTTCAAAACCTTGTGTCATCCCTTTGAAAACTGCTTGGTTTTCGAACACGATTCTTTTCTTTCATGGATTGTGAATATTCCCCAATATGGAGGTTTCCTAAAATACGGCTACCCCGAAATCATCCATTTTAGTCGGATTTTCCATTGTAAATCATCCTATTGGGGTAATCGTATTGTAGGAAACCTCCATATATTGGTTAGTATACTCCCCTAGAATCATCAACCAACCAGGCTTTCGCAGTCACTGGCGGTCGCCAAGGAACCCGCTGCGCGGTCATGGCCACCTTCACAGCGACATTGTGAGCTACCTGATGTGCAGTTAGGGAAGGTGAGCAACAAAGAATAGGGCGATGAAAAACCCACCAAAACTGGGATTTCATATGATTTAACCGGTGAACCGTAGGGATTTACTGGTGATCAAAGGAACTTCATCATTAAATATGTATATATAGTTTTATATTATATATATACACATATATATATAATATAAATATATATATGTGTGTGTACTTGAGTTTGTGCGCAAATGAGGGTATGAAGCCAACCACATTGGGGATCTAACGGGATGGAATGGAGTACCCTATTTCTACAGAGCAACCCCTTCGTCCAAGGGCACGGGCCTGCTGGATCCTAGATGGATGTGGCAAGACTGACTCCGCCTGGCGATGATACCATCAAGCTGCAGCCCTTCTGGAACAAAAAATATATAAAAATGACATGCATGACATTGGTGCTACATGTGTTTATTGCATCTTTTCAATAACTTTTAATTCAATATTCTTGGACCATCATTGATCCCCATGAATCACCATGAATCACCATGAATCACCATTAATCACCATTAATCACCATTAATCACGTCTGATTTTCAGGGGTCTTCACCTCCAAATCCTTATCGTCCAAGGTTTGCGCCACCACGGCAGCTGCTACCATGAACCACTTGTCTGGAATCCTTTCAGCCTCAGACGGGTGAATCAGGATCTAAAGACACTGGCCATTTAGTTTCTAAAGACCCCACTTCAGAGAGAGACCAGACATTTATTGAAAGGCCATCTGTTAGTGATGTATTCATCTTCTCAGAAATTTGGGATACTCATCATTTCGTGATCCAAAAGAAAGTCCAAAATCCTGGCAACACTGCTCTGAGAGTGGGACTTCACACCAATAAGCCCCAAAGGACATGCCAGGGAAGATGAAGAAGTTGTTCACTTGTCCAGGAACTCTTTGCCTGGAAAAAGTGCAGATATTGGGGAGATATTCATCCACAGAATGTTGACACATGATGCTAGGAAGAGCTTCCCCAACTGCACCAGCAATTAGGATGAGATGAAGCCAGGAATGGGAACTCACCAACAAGCAGAATTAGTCATTCTGGTGGTTGTGGAAACAATTCCAGTTCAACCAAATGCTTCCTCTTTTTTAATGGATGGTTGGACCATCAAGCGGCAGCACGCCGTGCGCCAATGTCAGCGAAGGCCAAAACCGCTACTCGTTTCCAAGACACTTGGGTATCGGTCAAAACAGTGTATCCAAAATCTCTTAAATTTGCAGCACAATACAAGTGCCTAAACTGCTCAACCTTCACATTGCCATAAAACGTCGAAGCAAATTCCACGGGTACCCAGAAGCTGTCCTCTTCTTGTAGGTCACTGGTGGGAAGCGGGTTCCAGAGCCAAAAATGGCCTGGAACGGCCGTGTGGATATTGATCTATCCCATCAGGTGATTTCTCATCCAAGACGCACCTCACCGTCCGAGAAATTGTAGCAATCCTCCGCTGTAATCTCTGCTTGACTCATAGGATTGGAAAGGGCGAAGATGATGGGTCTTCCTCCACCTGCGCGCCATGCCACGAGGAAGTAGAAAGTGGACGGGGTTGCAAAGGACCTTCATGGTTGCTGGTTAATCCTTGTCAACCCCTTACTGCAGTTGAAAAACCCACCTTTTATTCGTTGTTTGAGTGCCAAGGCTAAATGCGGTTCCCGCCCGCCTCCTGGTTTTTCCTTTTGGATTTGCACCATCGTTTCTACGACCTCCTTGTTGAAGCAGTTGGGCGCCTGCCCGACAGCCTCAGCGCTGCAAGAGACCAGATCTATCTGTCCATCCATCCATTTTACTTGTATAGACATATGTATGTGTATATTATATATATATACATATATACATACATATATTATGTAATTATAGAATTATATTTATATATATATATATTAATTACGTGTATGTATATACATATATATAGAGAGAGAGGGAGAGAAAGAGACACCCAGAGAGAGAGAGAGAGAAACACACACACACAACGAGACACAGACAGTTGCGTGTCTGCACATACTGAGTGCGCACACATTTCCTAGAACATCCACTCACGGAGAAAGAGGTGACGAGTCTCTCTCAACTAGGGGGCATAATTCCATCCCCTCATTCCCCCCAGTGATTCCGTCAGGAGGGGTCTCTTGCAGCCTGTCTTTGCTGTATCATCTCATCTGCGCATCTCTCATCTCACCAGTCTCCATGTGTAACACCCAAACAAAATTGCAACCCGACTTCAATGTTTAGCGGACCTTTCAAATCACCGAAACTCCGGATGCACTTCGACTCAATCCAAGAGTCCCCGATCAAAATATCGGGTTTGTGGTGCTTCAGAATCCCAAGGAGGCTGGTGTGGTCGTAGCCACTGGGTTGACCTCATGGATAGTGGTCCATTTTGGAAGGTTTTTGATCCCGGATCGTTTCTCTACCCGTCAAGAATGTCAAACTAGTCATTGATACTGTGCCATGCTGTGAGCACTGTCAGGATTCTCAGCTTCGTTATACTGAGCCGTGCACCGATGGAGGCAACATCCTTCTGCTCAAAGTTCTTGAAGTTGCCTTCGTTGCCACTCTCCGACTTCCAGATCACACCTTTGGAATTCCTTGGATGCAAGAGCACTGACACAAGCTGTTGATGGATGGTGCTACCACTGGTGTTTCTTCAATGAATGATACTTGGGTTGTTGGAGACATCAGGCCTACCATCGCCTTGGAACCTGCCACGTAGGCTACAGTTTGCACGTGATACTAATCTCCCAGGTGGCCAATTAGTATTGCTAAGCACTTGAAGAAGTCTGAACGACATAGTCTGACATAGTCTTGTCAACTCTGACTTCATCTCACACTGCCCACCCTTCAGGTCATTGAACTAATAGTTTGCCTTTCAACAAGAACAGGAGCGGTTTCACCCCCCTGAAAAGTATATTATATTATTTCATATTATAATATCTTATATTATTATTGTGTATTATATTATATTATATTATATTTTATTATATTATATTTTATTTTATTTTATTATAATGTATTATATTACATTATATTATATTATACTATATTTCCCCACCTGCCAGGTGAGGGTTGTTAGATTTTAGCAGAGCTGTTCTCCTCCTCCTCCTCCGCCTCCGCATCCTCCTCCTCCTCGTCCTCCTCCTCCTCCTCGCAGTCCAGATCCCAGTGGGCACAGCCGGACCTCCACCGCGAGCTCCAGATCCCAGTGGGCACTGCCGGACCTCAACCGCGAGTTGCAGATCGCAGTGGGCACTGCCGGACCTCAACCGCGAGCTCCAGATCCCAGTGGGCACTGCCGGACCTCAACCGCGAGCTCCAGATCCCAGTGGGCACTGCCGGACCTCAACCGCGACTTCCAGATCGCAGTGGGCACTGCCGGACCTCAACCGCGAGCTCCAGATCCCAGTGGGCACTGCCGGACCTCAACCGCGACTTCCAGATCGCAGTGGGCACTGCCGGACCTCAACGGGAAGAAAAGATGTCAGATAGAATGTCAGAAGATATGCCAGGTAGAATGCCAGAAAGAATGTCAGAAAAAATGTCAGAAGATACGTCAGACAGAATGTAAGAAGATATGCCAGAAAGAATGTCAGAAGATATGTCAGATAGAATGTCAGAAGATATGCCAGATAGAATGCCAGAAAAAATGTCAGAAGATATGCCAGATAAAATGTCAGATAGAATGCCAGAAGATATGCCAGATAGAATGCCAGAAGATTTGCCAGATAGAATGCCAGAAGATATGCCAGAACATATGCCAGAAGATATGCCAGAAGATATGCCAGATAGAATGCCAGAAGATATGTCAGATAGAATGCCAGAAGATTTGCCAGTAAGAAAATGTATAAATGTCATGGTGGGGATCATTCGAAGTGAAGTAATTTATTATATTATATTATATTATATTAAATTATATTATATTATATTATAGTTTATTTGATTTTATCATACTATATTATATTATATTATATTATATTTTATTTTATTTTATCTTATTATATAGTATTTTTATCAATTATCATTATTATTATTGTTATTATTATTATTGTTATTATGATTATTATTATTACTATTATTATTATTGTTATTATTATTATTATTATAATTATATATATGCATATATACACACATATATATGTGTGGATAGTCAGTTGGGTTAGGCATCCCAAATGGGGTTGAAACATGTTGAACCCAAGTCGAGTGCCTGCAGAGTATTGCCAGGGTGCGTTACTACGATGGACTCCTTTGGAACACCAGCTTCGTTTCTCAGAAGGTTGGCACCTGGATCAATGGAAGGTCGTGATGAGGCGGAAAGAGGGCACTCGGTTTAGGGAGCGCCTCTGCTGCTCCTAAGTTGATGCCGACCTGATTAGCAGTTTCTAACCTGATGGCCAGAAATGATGTGTCCCATCCTTTTAAAAAGATGGGACAATGTCCGAAAAATTCACAAACCATGTGTGGTTCCTTGGGTTCCTGGTACCCTTCCCCCATCTCCTTGCAGCAAGGCGCTTCCTAAGTTGGCTGAGCCAGCACCATGGAACACCACCTTCCGCTTTCGAAGCTCCTGCTGGAAATGTGAGCACGCAGCAACAATTATTAAGTTTGGGAGACACCACCTGTAAATGTGGCTACATGATCTTATTAGCGATATTCTTGCTGAAATTGGGTGCACATCGTTCGGAAGTGGAGAACAACTTCAGCAAAACATGGGGATATGGAAGTGTAATCCATCTAGCAACCACTTTCTGACTCTGGGAACATGAAATTCAATCAGCGGAACATGAAACGCCAAAGATGAGCTCTGCTAAGTGCCCAATTTCGATGTACCAAAAACTATCATGTGGGATCATCATCCCAGGGGATGAAACCAATTTTATCATGGGAACATCAGAAACACTAAGGGATCAAAAAGCACGCATCTGGATGAATTGCGGATGGGTCACGAGTCAAAAGGAAGGTCTCAATGGAGACACGAGTGAAGTTTCACGACTATGTGCCACACAGTTTGGTCCAACCAGCCAATGGCCTCCCAACAAAAAAGAAACTGCCGGAGCGCTGAAGACGAGACCTGTTGTTCC